AAAAAAACACGCATTCGAAGTTGTCAAAAAATTGAGAAAAAATCAATCACTATCTATGTAAAGAAGACCGGTGATCTTTCTTTTCATTCAAATAACAATATCTTCAGGCAAGTTCACATTCAACAATAAATTACATCAAGATCAGAATGAGTGGATCAGAATCAAATCAGCATGTTGCTGCATCGTCCAAATCAGCGTCATCATCAAATATTCGTCAACCACGACAACGTAGGGCACAAAACTATCTTCTTCTATGGGTAGATACCAGCATCGATCAAACAAACGAAGATTATGAAAATATATTAAAACAAATACGAGCTATTACTGGTGCTGTCAATGTCTTTACGCAACGAGATGCATGCATCGACTTTCTTACAGATGCCCAAGAAGACGTCAGGTCTTTTCTCATTGTCAAGGATACTATATTTCAACAAATAATGCCCCTCATCAATGATATTACTCAGCTGGGTGGTGTTTATGTCTTCAATGATATTAAAATCCTAGATGAAGAATGGTCAAAAAAATGGCAAAAAATCAAGAGCGTTCATACCGACATCGATGATCTATGCCAAGCATTACAAACTGGTATCAATCAGCTCAATCAAGACTCAATAGCCATGAGCTTTATCACAGTACAGGAAATGGCATTAACTGATAATTTAAATCAGTTGGAGCCAACTTTTATGTATACTCAGCTGTTCAAGGAAATTCTTCTCGATATGGAACATGATGCACAAGCCATCAAACACTTTACTGCTTATTGTCAACATAATGACAGCGGAGCGGCAAAGAGTATTGATGAATTTGAAAAAAAATACCAACCTCAATCTGCTATTTGGTGGTACACTTGTCCAACATTTATCTATTCTATGCTGAATTATGCTCTACGTTCTATGGAAGGTGAGATCATTATTAATATGGGTTTTTTCATTCATGATCTTCATCAACAAATACAACAACTATACCAACAACAGATCAATAGTTATCATGGTAAACCATTTTTAGTTTATCGGGGACAAGGTCTTATAAAATCGGACTTTGAAAAACTTCAGCAAACAAGGGGTGGACTATTATCATTCAACAATTTCTTGTCTACTAGTAAAAATGAAGAAGTGTCCCTTGGTTTTGCCCAAGTTGCTTTAACAGAACCAGATAAGGTTGGCATTCTTTTTATAATTTCCATTGACCCTTCCGTTAAGTCAACACCATTCGCGTCCATCCAAGAGCAGAGTTATTACGAGGGACAAGAAGAAGAAATTCTCTTCTCAATGCACACCGTCTTTCGTGTAGGTGCGATTGAACACATGAACAATGAGAGTCAACTTTATCAAGTTAAATTGCAATTAACGTCAGATGATGATCAACAACTACGAGTACTTACTCATCGGATACGAGAAGAAGCTGATGGTGAAAATGGATGGCAAAGATTGGGTAACTTATTGGTTACAGTTGGTCAATTTAATAAAGCTGAAGAAATTTATCAAGTATTACTCGTACAGACATCTAATGAGAGTGAAAAATCGATTTACTATAATCAACTTGGATATATTCATTGGAATCAAGGTGATTGTGAAAAAGCTATTTGGAATTACGAAAAAGTATTTGAAATATATGAGAAAACTCTTCCTTCAAATCATCCTGCTTTTTCTGTATCCTGCAACAACATTGGCAGTGTGCATGCCAATATGGGAGAGTACTCAAAAGCCCTATCATACTACAAAAAAGCACTTGAAATTCAACAAAAAACTCTTGCTTCAAATCATCCTTTATTGGCTACTTCATACAGCAACATTGGCAGTGTGTATAACCAGATGGGAGACTACTCGCAAGCACTTTCATACTACGAAAAAGCACTTGAAATTCGAGAAAAAAATCTTCCTTCAAATCATCCTGATTTCGCTATTTCATTCAACAATATCGGTTTGATGTATGACAACCTAGGAGAGTACTCGAAAGCACTTTCATACTACGAAAAAGCACTTGAAATCTATCAGAAAACTCTTCCTTCAAATCATCCTGATTTGACTACTTCGTACAACAACCTCGGTGCTGTGTATACCAACATGGGAGAGTACTCAAAAGCACTTTCATTTCACGAAAAAGCACTTGAAATATCTGAAAAAGTTCTTCCTTCAAATCAGCATGATTTGGCCACTTCATACAACAACATTGGTGAGGCTTACAGACAAATCGGAGAGTACTCGAAAGCACTTTCATACTACGAGAAAGCACTTGAAATGCGAGAAAAAACTCTTCCTCCAAATCATCCTAATTTAGCTACTTCGTACAACAACATTGGTAACGTGTATACAAACATAGGAGAGTACTCAGAAGCACTTTCGTACTACGAAAAAGCACTTGAAATCTATCAGAAAACTCTTCCTTCAAATCATCTTTTACTGGTTACTTCATACAGCAACATCGGTATAGTGTATGACAATACGGGAGAGTACTCGAAAGCACTTTCATACTACGAAAAAGCACTCGAAATCTGTCAAAAAACTTTTTCTTCAAATCATCCTTTGTTGGCTACTTCATACAACAATATCGGCAGTGTGTATAACGAGATGGGAGAGTACTCAAAAGCACTTTCATTTCACGAAAAAGCACTTGAAATCTATCAGAAAACACTTCCTTCAAATCATCCTTTATTGGCTACTTCATACAACAATATCGGCACTGCGTATGACAAGATGGGAGAGTACTCAAAAGCACTTTCATTCTACGAAAAAGCACTCGAAATCTTTCAAAAAACTCTTCCTTCAAACCATCCTGATTCGGCTACTTCATACAACAACATCGGTTTAGTGTATAGCAATATGGGAGAGTACTCGAAAGCACTTTCATACTACGAAAAAGCACTTGAAATTCGAGAAAAAAATCTTCCTTCAAATCAGCCTGATTTGGCGCAGTCATACAACAACATCGGTTTGGTGTATGACGACATGGGAGAGTACTCGAAAGCACTTTCATACTACGAGAAAGCACTTGAAATGCGAGAAAAAACTCTTCCTTCAAACCATCCTGATTTGGCTACTTCATACAACAACATTGGCAGTGTGTATAACGAGATGGGAGAGTACTCGAAAGCACTTTCATACTACGAAAAAGCACTCGAAATCTTTCAGAAAACTCTTCCTTCAAATCATCCTTTATTGGCTACTTCTTACAACAACATCGGTATAGTGTATAGCAATATGGGAGAGTACTCGAAAGCACTTTCATACTACGAAAAAGCACTTCATATTCGAGAAAAAACTCTTCTCTCAAATCATCCTTCAGTAGCTATTTCATTCAACAACATCGGTTTCGAATATGCCAACGTGGGAGAGTATGCGAAAGCACTTTCACTTCACGAAAAAGCATTTAAAATCTTTCAAAAAACTCTTCGTTCAAATCATCCTTTATTGACTACTTCTTACAACAACATCGGTTTGGTGTATGACAAGATGGGAGAGTACTCGAAAGCACTGGCATCTCACGAAAAAGCACTTGAAATTCGAGAAAAAACTCTTCCTTCAAGTCATCCTTCGTTGGCTACCTCATACAACGGCATCGGTATTGTGTATGACAACATCGGAGAATACTCAAAAGCACTTTCATTTCACGAGAAAGCACTTGAAATTCGAAAAAATGCTCTTCCTTCAAATCATCCTGATTTGGCTACTTCGTACAGCAACATTGCTAAAGTATATAACAATATGAAAGACTATGCGAAAGCACTATCATATTATGAACGTGCTCTAGACATATGGCAGCATGGATCAGCTCGGGCTCATCCTCATATAAAAGGTGTGCAAGACAGTATTGAAGTTGTAAAAGAGTTATTAAAGAATAATTAATAAATAAATAAACGTATATTTTGTTCACTTATTTTTAAAGTTGTTCTATTTTTTAGTGTCTCACGCGCGCGTGCAGAGAACAGTTCTGTAAATAATAGAAACGTAATAGACAAAACCGACTAATAAGGTAATACACATACATAGGTATGTGTATAAATGACCTTCTCAGACATATTTACATTTTCAATTCTTTAGGAGAGGGTGGTTGTGACTGCAAATATTGTATTTATCTAAGGCACTCAGCCACGCCCGCATCCACCTATATTCACAGAAAAGTAACTAAATATTCACTAAGGTATGCAATGAAGTACGAAAAATATGGTAAGATAGATGCGGTGATACTCGAATAAATAGATGTTCTGATCAATAGATAATGAGTTGATTTCTGGATAATGTTTTAGACGACTACTGCTATAGACAGATCATTATCATAGGAGTGTCAATCTAATGATATAAGCATAAGAATATTGTGAACAAAAAGAGATTTCTTAGAACTATTTTTACAACAAATAACAAGTGTCCTGCAAAACCTCTTTTCTATCGAATGTGAGTTGTGGAATAATAGTAATGCATTTGAGAATAAAATATTGTTAGTTCATGCCTCCTCGAAAAGAATGGTTTTTAACTATATGTCCATTAATGCGCTATTTGTTGACTGAATTCATATATGTTGTTTAGACATTATCGTAGGAAAGAGCAAGGTATTGATTCTCTGTTACTAAAAGCTTGATAAACATTTCTATCATGAGTATGTCTATGACTAAAATAGACATCTTTTTTAAAGCCAAAATGGAGTACTAATCTATATTTCATCTGTAGAAACCATTGTATAAAAACTCAAGTTGTAACCTTGAACAATAGTGAATACAAATCATAGACAAGATTTTTCTTAACAATCTAAAATAAGAAAATAATTGTATTATTTTTTAAAATTAACAAAATTTATACGGATTCACCAAAAAGGATGTCCAATTTCTGTTTTACAGCTCATCAAAAAAATATTTCTTGATTAAAATCGAATCTATGATGAACTCTATCGTATCTCATCTATCAATGAGATAACAAAATCTGAAACCTTCAGTTATAGCGTTACTTTTTTTATTAGTATTAAAATATTACAAACGAAAATTCCTATAGATGTCTCCTTCAGATACGGAATCTTTCGGTACAATTGCGTACTTCAATAGAAATAGTAAAATGGTGTCTAACAACCAATAGATCTCGTTCGTATGATCAGCACATATCACACCTTA